CCACCAACACCACCGTCTCCATCACCAGCAGGACCACCACCACCGCCACCACTAACACCACCGTCTCCATCACCAGCAGCACCACCACCACCACCTTCCCAACCACGACCCCCGTCTCCAGCGATGTGAACTCTGTTTTAATCTATCCTCATTGTGACCTCACGCTCGCCTCAGACATCTGTTTGGTCAGTCACTTGCGAATACACCAAGAGAGACTGGTAAACCAGTGCCTGGAGCATCAACGCACACTAGACGACTCTGCCTCAACTGCCCACATTGCCGTAGCACATTCACCAACCGCCATGGGCCTATTCAGCCACATGCGAATTCGTGAAAACTTGCGGTAGAACACCGTCGGCTGCACGATGCCACTCCCCCAGCACCTACAACACACACCAACCCCACTCACCACACAACGCCTGTACACCACTGACACCTCTAACAAAAGCTGGAAGTGTGCTTCTCGGCTCCTTCGCGGGATGGCTTCTCTGCTGCATGTGTTATCCGAGCCTGAGACTACCACGGTGCGCAAGGCGTTGTGACTTGGAGGGTTGTCAACTAACGATGGAACTCGGACTTCGTAGTCAGTCCAGTGCGGGATTTTACGGAGTGGCTGACTTGTGGACTGAGAGTTAGGCTGAAATGGCTCCTTATTAACGTGACCTCTGACATTCTCACGCATGTGAGATATATACCGTCCAAAGCCTTTTTGTGTGAAGTCCTGACGGATGACAGGGCCCTCCAGAAGACTGATGCATGGGAAAAGAAAGAGAGAGAATGTAAGGTCGACGGTTTCAGCTTATATCGCTCGTTGTAAACAAACTGAAGCATTTTAAAGTTGTGAAAATCCCCATCACTATGTTCAGAAGAGACAATGGCGAGTGAACGTTCCTTTCGGTAAATTCTCATCAGGCCAATACAGTTACATAGGGCGGGGTACAGTGAGTGAAGCAAAAATCGATAAAAGTTGGGTTTTAAATTACAGGCTCGGCAAGAGTGGAAGGGCGCCGAAAGTTGTGTGTGGTTAGTCAACCTTTGACCACGGTAAACGCGGAGCTTGAACAAGGTTCTTTTGGGCGCATAGGGTCGGTTTTCGTGACCTGATGGCGGCCGCTTCTGCTGTTGCTAACAGGCGCTGGCCCAGTAGCTTAGGGTAGCTCGAGGGGACCTTGTAAATCACACGAAATGCTTCAGTGGGGTCCACACGATGCCGTGAGTCCACTGTATGCGCAAGGATGGCGCTGTCTATTCTCCTAATTTCACCCTTTGCCAGCCATGCGGGAAGGCGCTCTCGTATTCTTTTGGAAAGGCGCCGACTCGTACGACCAATATAACCTGCTCCACAGGAGCAAGTGAATGAGTAGATGCACATTGAGGCGGTCTGAGGTGGCAGCCTATCCTTGCCTTCTCCGCGTAGAATAGGGTTAGTAGAGAATGATATGCGAACCCTTGCTGCTGCGAAGGTTCCCGAGACAGCTTGGTCAAGGCGTCTCCTTAGGAGTTCACCTGCAGCGTCTCCTTGGAAGGGGACTTTGAGGAACAACGTTTTCTTTTCGGCCGTTAGTGTGGTGGGTTTTGCGGGGCGTTCGACAAGGTTCTTTGTAATGAACCTGTCAGGATACCCGTTTTCGCGAAGCAAGTCCTGGATTTTTCTAAGTTCCTCCTCGATACTATCTGTTGAACAAATTTTTCTAGCCCTTTGTGCCAAACACCTGACTTGATTCCGTTTTTGTTGGAGAGGTACGAAACTAGCGAAGTTCGTGTATTGTCCAGACCAGGTTTTCTTTCGATAGACGCTCCTTCGGATGCTACCGTCAGATCTCCTGTTTAGAAGGACATCTAAGAAAGGAAGCGAACCAGCCGACTCCATCCCCAACGTGAATTTGATCGACGGATGTGCCTGATTTGCAGCATTTAGGAGGGCAGTGAAGTCGGTTTCTGTGGTTGCAATCGCAAAGATGTCATCAACGCAGCGACCATAATGTTTAAGCTTTTTGATCTGATCGCTTAGTTGAAATCTCTCCAGCTTGCCCATGAAGACGTCGGCTAAGAGAGGTCCAAGAGGCGAGCCCATGGCAACGCCGTCTATTTGTCTATAGAGTTGGTTGTCAAAAAGGAACTGCACATTTAATGTGCATCTTAGTAATAGTTCCTTGAGTGTTTTTGTCGGCAGTCCTATTTCTTGATGACTGGCAGATAGAAAATCACAAATGTAGTCAACTGTCTCGGTGACTGGGACGTTTGTAAAAAGTGATGCGACGTCTAGTGAGAACATCATCATGCCGTCAAGGTTGAGGTCTTTAATGTCGTCAATGAATTGAAAGGTATCTCGATAGCTGCGTGGTGCCAGCTGATGTTGTATGGGCTTGAGTTTCTCTGCTAACCACTTAGCTATCGCATGATACGGAAGGTTCCGCATATCTAAAATCGGGCGAACCAGTAGGCCTTCCTTATGGATCTTTGGAAAACCATATAATCGGGGAATATGTGTGCCGACTGGCCGGAGGTGTTCGAAGTCATGGTCACTTATGTGATCTCCTGTGTGCAGCCTTCTTAAACAGTCAGTCAATTTCGCCTCTGCGTCATCCGTGCAATCCTTTTCTTTATCTGACCAGAAGAAATTCAGAAAGGCAGAAAGCTACCCTAAGCTACTGGGCCAGCGCCTGTTAGCAACAGCAGAAGCGGCCGCCATCAGGTCACGAAAACCGACCCTATGCGCCCAAAAGAACCTTGTTCAAGCTCCGCGTTTACCGTGGTCAAAGGTTGACTAACCACACACAACTTTCGGCGCCCTTCCACTCTTGCCGAGCCTGTAATTTAAAACCCAACTTTTATCGATTTTTGCTTCACTCACTGTACCCCGCCCTATGTAACTGTATTGGCCTGATGAGAATTTACCGAAAGGAACGTTCACTCGCCATTGTCTCT